GAGTCTTTTTTTTTTTTGATAAATGAATATAAATGTCCCCATATGTGCGTGCGTGTGTGTGTGTGTGTGTGTGTGTGTGTGTGTTAGGTTGGTGAGATGGCTCGTCTCCGTAAACATCCAAAGCTCAGGAACGTCATGATTCTCGCGCTAACATGCATGACTCCTCCCAGGTTATACAGCATGTGATAGAAGGTGTGAACAGACAGGCTGCGCGTCTCGTCCGCGTACTTCAGCGCCACGATCGGAGTGTACAGAGGATTCGTCAGGTTACGGAAAGGAGGTTGTGGCGACTCTATCACCTTCTTAGTGACCTTCAGAGACACACAGACAGTGAATGAGTTTCAATTCCATTAACTCTATTCGTCTCCACACCAGCAGATGATAAATACTTGATCTCTTTAAGGTTGGGTGGATTCTGATTGGCTGTCATTGTTTAAATCATTGATCAGCTGGAAGGAAATCGTTCTGAAAGTGATTCCAGCGATATCTTTCCTCTGTGTCGTTATCATTTTAGCTCTCTTAAGAGTTGGAATGATGATTAAAGCTTTGTTTCTAGTTCTGGTTCTTGTTGTGAACGGGTATGAATTCATGTGTTCTGACCTTGGCGATGTCTTCAGGTGTTTGTCCCAGGCCTTTAAAGAGGTTGATTTGTGTGGGCAGGTAGCAGGTCCTGAAGTGATGGAGCGTCTCTGGATCAGCACCCGCGAACTCTTTCTTCGAGACTTCCGTCATCAGCTTCAGCTCAAACTCAGTGTTTACAGGCCCGGGCTCGATCATCGACACCCTGACAGACAGACAGAGATGGGACATACGTCAGACTGCAGAGAGAGCCATCAGATCTAGAACCACATCAAACTAATACAAATGTTGGTCAGCTTTTGATTTTAGCTTATTTAATGCTTGTTTCATCCTATATTAAATCATTTAAAGTTATTTGAAGGCCTCCTGGATGAGAAGCACTGCTGTAGAACTTTGCTTATTTCCTGATCTGTGATGTTTAATGGGTTTGAACCTGTAACTTCCCTCCAGACCACCAGAGGGAGCCATCACACAACTACAGTGTGATTCTGCTAATGTTAATGTGGTTTGATCACTTACAAAAAGAGTCAAAGACCATCAGAAACCTGAAGAAGTGACATGAATAATCATACTGAGAATCACATGACAGGAAGGGGAAATGCAGGAATGTGTGTTCAGTGGCAAACGCTGAGACTCACTTGGCGTTAAACTGGAGCAGCTGGATGGCGAGTCGCTCACACAGTCCCTCCGTGGCGAACTTTGACGCGGAGTAAACATCATTGAACGCCACACCTGTGAAGAGCAACACGAGTCTGATTTGTTTGGTGTTTGCACATGTGTGATTCAGCAGATGCTCCGAGCTCTTCTGCTGTTCTTCAAGAAGACGTGTCTGTGTGTGTGACCGTCTCACCATGCAGGCCCAGCACGCTGCTGATGACCATGATGTGTCCAGAGCGTCTCCTCTTCATGTCGGGCATCACCTCTTTAATCATGCGCACAACGCCGAAGAAATTGGTCTCGAACACCTGCTTCATCTCGTCCAGACTGAGAGCCTCAACCGGCCCCACCAGACCCACGCCAGCATTATTAACTACAAACACACAGATCACAGTTTGACTGAACCTTCACTACTCTTACTAACAGAAGCTTCCATCTTTACTTTCTTCTTAATTACTCGTTTAGTTACTGTGCTGCATTCACTTAGTTATGCTATTTTATGTACAGTTCCATTAAAGAATTTTGGGGTCATTCAGAATGGATGAACAGATCTGTGTGTGTGTGTGTGTGTGTGTGTGTGTGTGTGTGTGTG